GGGGGGGCGGCGCGCCGTGCCGCTGAGGGTGCCCGGGCACGGGCCCTCACCATCTGCAGGAAGGGCGCCTCCGGGTCAAAGCGGTAGGCGTCCTTGTCCCCCAGCACCAGGTAGTGGGCCGCGTTGATGATCACCTGCTTCAGGCCCACCAGGGAGCGCAAGAGTCTGGGGGGGAGGAGGGGTGAAGGGCGCCGCAGAGCCACCCGGCTGCCCTCGGGGCAGGGGCGCGGCTCCCACCTGACCCCGTAGTCCACCACCACGGCCTCCTTGGCCGTGCCGGTGATGGCGTCGTGGTGCTGGAAGAGGCCCAGTGCGCGCCGCGCGTCTGTCAGGAGGGCGAAGTCCGACAGCGGGTACTGGCCGGCCAGCCCGGCGCGGCGGGCGTGGGCCACCGCCAGGCTGTACAAGATCTCCGCCCCCCTGCCGGAGAGAGGGGTCAGCGCCTGCCCACCGCACCCTGCCCAGGCCCCGTGCCGCCGCCCCGCGGCCGCCGCCCTCCAGCCCCGGGGGCTCACCGCAGGTGGGCTTCCAGCACGCGGTCCAGGCGCTTGTAGAAGGGCCGGGAGGTGTAGTAGCCCGTCCAGTAGTGGTCCTCCCGGTCGGCGTAGGAGAAGAAGTCGCCGCTGAGCACCGGGAAGCCGGGAGGCCGGGCGCCCGGCTCCACCCCCGTTCGCTTGTACAGCGCGTCAAAGTAGTCAGACAGGGTGCCAAACTGGGCCTGTGGGCAAGAGCCCTCAGTGCCCAGCCTCCCGGCGCCGCCGGCCGGGCTGCCCGCTGGCGCCGCACCTGCACGTGGAGGTCGGGCTTGCTGTTGAGGAAGTCGAAGAGCCGCTGGTAGTTGGAGAACTGGGCGTCCCACTCCTGCGGCTTGTCGTAGCGGAAGTCGTCGCCCAGCGGCACCAGCAGGACGCGGCTGCGGAACAGCCGCGACTTCTTCCGGTACTGGTCCAGGAGCAGGGCAGCCCTGCGGGAGCGCGCTGAGCTCGGGCGGGCGGCCCGACCCGCGCCCCGTGCGCGCAGGACGGCCAGTCCGGGGCGCCCAGAGTCCCGCCCGTCCCGCCGCAGAGGCCCTGCCAGCGGCTGCCGCCAGCCCCGGCCGCTCCCCGCGGCCCCCATCCCCAGGATGCCGTAGCCCGGCCGCTCTTCCGCTCCCACTGCAGGGCCCCCGGGCGGTCAGCGCCTTTCTGAGCGGCCTGGCCGCGCGTCCTCAGAGGGGCCCCAGCACTGGGTGCGCGAGTGCCGTGAAGGCCAACCCGAGGGAAGACACCTGCTGCCGGCTGCCCCGAGAGCGCTGGCCGCCCGGCCGGCTCCCAGGTCATCCCAGAGTGGGGGGCCCGCCGCCGAGCACTCCCACACCTCAGCCTGTTGAGTCCTTTTGGGGTCCTGATTCTGGCCCAGCAGCCTGCCTGCCAGTCGGCCAAGCAGCCCGGCCGAGGGAGGAGGCGCCCAGGGCGCCGGGCGCTTGCCGAGTGGCCCCGCGCAGGGCAGTTCCCTGTCCGGGGCGGGGTCCCACTCGGGGGCGCCTGACACGCAGCAGGAACTTCCGGCGAATTTGCTATTTTCCTCTTCACCCGACGCGGGTGACCCCGCAGGAGCACACAGCCCCGCTAGGCCGGCTGGCCGCTGGCGCGGGCTGGCGTTCGCCGCCCACTCGCCGCCGGCCTTGACCCCGACCTCCGGCTCTCAGCTCCTTCCCAGGAGGCCCGCACTCGCTGCTGCCCACGTGGGCGGCCTGGCAAGCCTCTGTGCGCTTAGATTTCAGGAGACAAAAGAGCGCTTTCTCCGCCCCTCCATCACGTGGCCCCCTTGGCCGCGGGAAGCCACAGTCCCGCCACACAACCTGCTCGGCCTGCTCAGAGGCCCCTGCGGCTGGGCCCCCACAGAGCTCGCCCTCCCCTGCGCACCCCGGGCTCCCTAGCAAGCTCCCCAAGGCTGCGGGGTGTCTGGTGAGACCGAAGGGGCACCCGCGGGGCTCTGTGTCCACAGGGCACTGCCTGGGCCAGCGAGGCCAGAGGCCGAGGCCCCCGCCCGCCTTGAGCGTCGTTCACGAGTCAGCCAGCAGCTGGGACAGAGGCCGGGGCCACAGCACTCAGGAATGGATCCATTCTGGGAAGGGGGGCTCTTGGGGCCACGCAGTTTTCCAGGGGCTCGGTCAAGGGCTATGGGGGCCCTGAGTCCTGCCCCCTCACTGCCCCAGGCCGCACAGCCTGCGGCAGAGCCGGGACGGAGGCCTGGGCCCTGGACCCATGCGGCCTCCGTGTCGGCCAGGCCCAGCACTGGCGGTGAGTACCTCTCGGCCACGTTCGCCTCCGTGATGGCCCGGGGCGGCACCTTCCAGGGACAGTTGATGCGGCCACCTGGCAAGCGCTTGAAATCAAACTGGCAGCAGATCTTGGGGTCTGGGCCACAGGTGTGGGGGACGTCGTAGCTGTAGAAGGGCATCATGTGGCAGAAGATGTCTGTGCTGGAGGCGGTGTCTGCAAGAGACACGAGTGGGCGGCCACTCCCGGGACGCTGGCACCACATGCCACGTGCGCAGGTCTATGGGGCAGACCTCAGGCCCCACAGGGCCAGCGACCCCCGCCCCCAACCCAAAGGCGAGGCCTTCGGGGTCTAGCGACGTGCGCTGGGGCTGGCTGGCTGCTGGGGAGCCTGGGGCCTCTCCCAGATCGCTGCCCCTTCTGCTGCGCCCACGCCGTGACCACTGGCCTTACCCCACGTCTGCCTCCACATGAACTCCAGGCTGTGGGTGGCCGCGAAGTGCTTCTTGATGGCATAATGCACCCTCTGGATCAGCATGCTGGTCAGGTTGGCCCGGCGCAGCAGGTAAGGCATGGTCGAGCTGTAGCCGAAAGGGTCCACGGCCCAGCCAGAGCGCGGGGTGGCTCCTGGGGGCGGGGGAGCCGGAGGCGCTGGGCTCCCACCTGGGCGGCACAGCAGCCCCCAGGGGCCCTTCGCCCGGAGAGGAGCCCACCAGCCCCTGTGAACACAGCGCCTGCTGCCCACTGGCCCAGCTGCGGAGGCCGGGAGAGTCCGCCCAGGCCAGACTCACCGAGGTTCTTTTCCAGCCACTGGTGACCCTCGATGAGCTGGTCAATCAGCGCAAAGTAATGGGAGTTGGCTTCGTCCGGCATCACCCAGCCCCCTGTGGCGATCTCCAGCTGCCCGTTTCCCACCAGCCTGGAGGGAAGGACGCACACTCAGCGAGGGGCCGCTCCCCACCCCGTGCCCATCGTCACTGAGCCAGCTCCCCGCCAGGTGCCAGCGTAAACCGCCCCCCTGCAGCCAACCATGGTGCCCGCCCGCCTGTGCCCAGGACCAGGCCCGCCAAGCCCCGCAGACCCCTCAGTCCCCAGCCAATGCCGCTCCGGGCAGTCTCGTGCTCCGCCAGGCCCGCCAGCCCCTCCCTGACACTGTGGCACCCCAAGCTCAGGTGGGCCCCGCAGGCAGCCCGCGCCCGCCCTCTCCCGTCAGCACTGGCCTCCGCACGGCGGCTCGCTTCTGGGCGCTGATGTTGTCCCACCACTTGGCGAAGAAGGAGACCTCGGCCCAGAGGAAGCGCCGCCGGGGGTCCTCCTGCAGCTTGGCCACCATGCTGTTGAGGATGTGCTGTGTCTGCTCCGTGTAGTACTTGTCGAAGGTCTTGATCCAGCCTGGGGGCGGCAGGCCCTGAGGACGCCTGTCCCCCACCGCCCCCCGGGGCCCGCCGCCGTGCTCACCTGGGTCGTTGTGCGAGTGTGGCACCACGAACACCTGCAGGGCTTCGGCGTCCCAGTCGTGGGGGCCATAGGAGATGTCGAAGCCCTGCTTCCACACGCCGCCATCCACGTTGTCGAAGGGCAAGTCCTTCATCACGGCCAGCATCTGCAGGCGTTTGAGGGTCGGGAGGCGGCTCAGGGCCACTCCAGACACGGGGCGGGGGGGCGCCAGCCAGCCAACTCTTACCTGCAGCTCTGGCTTCTGGCCTTGGCCCCCCAGTGCAAACTGGCAGTCTTGTGGGGAGATGGACAAGAAGCTGGGCCGGGGCTCCGGCGGCACCACCCAGGAGCCATTGGCCGTGTAGTAGGGCAGGGGGGCGGGCGGGCCCTCGGCGTGAGCGGTCAGCTCCAGCACGGACTCCTTGATGTGGCTGATGATCTCGTGGTTCTCCTCCAGCAGCTGCTCCAGCTGCTCGATGCGGTTCTGCAGCACAGAAATTTGGCTCTGCAAAAAACCAGAAACGCTCGCACCGGCTCCTCTGGGCACCAAGGGGCCCGCCACCCGCAGCTGCCCGCCACCCAGCCGCCCAGCCAGGCCCAGGGCCCGCGGCCACACTGTGCCAGAACCAGGGAAGCGCTGCGGTGTTGGGGACCCTCCTTCTCCAGCTCACGGAGGCAGAGACCCGCCCCCACGCCCCACGATGGCAGCTGCCCTTCTGGAGTGCCCTGCCCACGTTCCTGCCTTCGCCATCTTGACGCCACGACGGCTTGGGGTTTCTAGACAGCCTCTCCGTTGGGAAGGGAGGCGCCTGCCAGGGGGCCCGCTGCCTGGCAAGCCGAGAGCGGCCTGACTCACCCGGGGGAAGTTCCCGCCGTTCTGGTGCCGGCTGGGGTCATGCTGCACTCGGTCCAGCATGAGGTAGAGCGAGAAGACCGCCACACAGAAGATGGCGGCGCCGCACACTGTCACCTGCTTCTTCAACTTCATCCTGGCTGCGGCGCACAGCTGGCGGGACACCAGAGGTCACAGCCCGTGGCCCCCACCCGCGCCGAGGGTCCCGGAGGGCTGCCCCTCGAGAAGCCGCAACTTCCACTCACACAGGCCCTGGGTGCGGCCCGGCCCGGCCCAGCCCGCTCCCTTGGCAAAGACGGAGAGCACGGGTAACTGCCCCCGGGGCTGGTCCTGGCAGGCTGGTGGAGGTGACGCCCGGTCACCAAGTTCCCGCTCTGCCTCCAGACACCCCGGGCCACCTCCTGGTGACAACCAGCTTCCCGTCGAGCTCCCCCCAGAAACATACAGGGCGCCTGGCCCGAGTGCCTCGTCACAGATGAGTGGGCGGTCTCTGGTGCACGTAAAGGGTATAGCCAAAGCCCGGAGGCTCACAGAAAAGCCTTTCACCCTGGCCTCTTGGATCCGACTGGCACTGGCCATGAACAGTGGCTGGCAGGGCTCCCCTCATTAAGAAAAAGAAGGAACTGAAAAGCAGCTTGTGTCTGCCATCAAATGAGCCCCACGCGCCTCCCCTCTGCTGCTAGCCTGCAGCGGTGACCTCCACCTCTGCTCCCCGGGCACCTGGGGGACCCGTGCCCCAGTGAGGCCGGCTGCACGGTTGCTCGGTGGGGGGTGACCTCAGGGGGCCTCGCGGGCCTTGGCCCCACTTGCCTGCTAGGCTGGCCCAGGCCGCGCTGCGGCCGGCGGCTGAGTCTCCCTCTGCCCTGGGCCCGGCCGTCACCTCTGCGCTGCGCCCTACTTAGGGCGATCTGATTCCTCTCCGGCGCCTTCCGACAGTATTTTTAGCCCGGGGAGGCTGGGTCCACGCCAAGGAGGGCGGCGCTAGGGAGAGAGAGCTGGATCCCAGGGGGCAGGTGG